GGGTTCCTCGCTGTCCTTCCCCATCCCCGCCGCGCTGCTGGCGCTCTTCACGCTCCGGCATCACAAATACGGCAGGTTCATGTCCGTGAGCCTCCTGCTGATGGGCATCGTGGGACCCATCACAGCCGGGATCCTCACAAGTACGCTCGGCGCCCGGAAGCGCCAGTCAGGCGGCCGTGTGGCGAGCAGGGGTTGCCTTCAGGGTCTCCTTGCCCTGCGTAGAGAGGAGATCGGTGCTTCAGTTAGCTTTTTGCACTCACCCCACGTCGAAAGAGTTGAATTAAGACAATTTCACCTACTGAACCCTCTGTCAGGGTACTAAGCATGCCTGTCAAATGCAGAGCCAGACTGCCAAGGGGACTTTCAGGGTTCAGAGCACTCAGAGAAAAAACACTTACAGGTTTGGTGTCTATGACTGGAACTGGATGGTGTTCCCAGCTTTTGGGCTGTGAAGATCATGGCACAGAGTATTGCATGACAAGGATGAGAATGTGTCCAAAGAAGGCCCAGTCTTGTGCACCTTATTGAGGCCTCAGCAGGGCTATGCCAGCAGTTTACCAATAAACCTTTGTGTTGCCACCAGCACACGGTTCTTTGTGGCCGGGGGCTGTGACAGGTCCTTCCTGTTCGGCATATCTGCCGCTCTCCCAGTTTGTACGCAGGGTTTCAGATCCCTCTCCCACATAGCACCCCTGTTCCCTCCAGATAATCATTCCTTGACTCTCAGCCCTTCTGTAGTAGAGTGAGTGCCTTCCCCGTGACTTCTGGCACTATAAACAGTGTCTTGCACATCCCCTCATTGAATGGGCTCTAGATACAGTATCTGTCTGGTGAAGGGGACTTCTTATTCTCCTACAGGATAAAATGCCATTACCTCCACCTTCGTGGTACAGTTTTGACAATGCACTTGCTAGGAAGGCTGAGAAATGAAACTGTTCCTTAGGTGTTAACAACTATGTGTGTGTGTAAAAGGCAGTCTTGGATATCGACCGCTTATAGTCTTACCTTGCGCACTGACTTCTCTCACTAAGCAGCCTTTGCTATCACAGTGTTAAGTGAAGAAGTTGCTCATCTCAATACCTAGTTAACCAGGATAACTTTTTCCAAGTAAATAACTTTCTTATTTAGTGGGCTTAAAATGTTGAGCTTAAGCAGCTTGCTAATAATTGTTGGTTTGGGCAGTACATCTCAGTTGCTACTTTCTGTTATTTACCTTTGAGTTAAGTATAAACATGGTGCTTGACTTTCTTGGCGATTCAGGAACCCAGTTAACCTAAATAATAAGTTAGAGTAATGAAGCAGTGTGAATTCCCAGTTCCTTCCTCTGTAAGAGTGTGTATCTCATATTGACTGTCACACATTAATATTTCTGTTTTTCCCCCTCTACACAGGTGCTGCTATTGCTGGAGTTTACAGAGCTGCTGGGAAAAAAATGATTCCTTTTGAAGCCCTCATTTTAGGAGTGGGTCAGACATTCTGTGTGGTGGTAGTTTCCTTTCTACGGATTTTAGCCACTCTCTAGCTTTTCTTCAGATGCTAGTGATCAAAGATCAAAGGAAGAGCAAAGCATGTGCCAGACGCTCGGCCTCTGTGAAGCAAATAATGAGGAAGCACACCTCGAGGTGTACCTTGATGTGTGCTTTCTCCATTGGTTGAAGGATGCGTGCAGGCACGTTCCTGCCTCCGATATGGTAGCAGAGTCCTTAACTGTGACAGACAAGCTATCCTTTGCAGATTCTAATGTGAAGGGTTGTGTGCCACAAACATACGTTGGGGAATGTGGTTTCTTTAACTTACGTTGCTTATGTACCAGCCATAATGCCTGGATTAGTTCTCTTATAGCACTGCTGAAGCTGTGCTGCTAAAAGCAAGTATTTACAGGCAATGCTGCAAGCACTGAATGCTTTCCAACTGGAATATGCCATTAGATGGGTCTGCAGTCTGCTTTAGATTTGGTTGAAGTTAAGGTACAAATTGTTGATTTTGTTACATTTTGGTAACACTAAGTGCCAAGTGAGATTTTATTTTTCTGGAGAATGAGAAAAGGGCTTCTGGAGGAGGCTTATGTACCTTTCACAGGTGATGAATTGTGATAGTAACAGAGTGAAACTAAAATGTGACACAGGCTGTTTCGGGGTAGAAACATTACTACAGAATGACGTGGTGTCTTCGGAGCTCAGTCAATGCTTCAACCTCTTGCTGCTTTGTTTGCAGTGAATCTGAAACTTTTTTAATGTGAATTTTTTTTTAATGAGAAACTTAATTTGTTTTTTTCTGGCCCCATCTTTCTTATGCCAGATCTTGGTTATAGTTAGGTTGGGGAACAGCAGAAGGAAAAATCATTTTAGATAGATGAAAATGAAAATTTGTGCCTGAGAGCTGTGGATGTGAATGCTAAGGCAAGGGAAATAATCCATTTAAAAAGGATCACTATTTTTGTAAACTTCTATTACACTGAAACTCTTCAGACACTGTGCACTTTTTTTAAGAGAGGCAAAGCACAGCTGAACAAGGGCTATACCATAGAAATCCCGGGGGGTGGGTGGGTGTGTCCTATTCCTTCTCAGGCTTTGAATAAGACGTGTATTTTTGGATTTCTTAGTTGTCTTTTTAATTGCTGAAAATATTCACATTGGTGTTGTGTAATTGGAGATCTTCACTGATTTTGTAAATGTCAGTGGCTGGCATATTTAAAATACAGCATGCTGCATCAGTGACTGTTTGCTTAGATCCTGCACGGCTGGTGCTGGGTTATCGTGACTCATGGTTTTTCGGGTGCAGAGGCAATGCGCATGCTGCATTATAAATATTTGGCCTACAGGGGATTGTCTGCCTGCTAGAGTCCCAGGAAGTGCCTGGGTGATTGCTGTATTTCAGTGATGAGCCGTATGAACATATCCCCAAAACAGACTCTACCAGCAGGCAATAAGGTCTCTACTAGTGAAGTGTTTTAATTATTTTTGTTTTAAGTGACTTTTAACTAATTCTGAATTCTCCCCTCTTGCTTGGAGGCACACTATGCGGTCAGGGCTCTCAGGTAGCTTTGTGTTTTCTGGGGGCTTGTTTTTGGGGGGCCCTTGGGGAAGCTGAGGTTGAATCTCAAGGATTTTGCTGGGCAGTGTAGCCATCCCCATGGTTTTGCTGTGCTCCTGAGCGTGGTCCTTGTTTGTCTATTTTCAGCTGACAGTCACTTGGGTTGCTGAAGGAAAGCGCAAGCTGTGTCCATAGCAGAACAGCTGCTTCCAAGGACACACTTCCCATCTATGTTTTTACTGAACTTGTTTGGTTTCCAAACCAGCTTGCCTTTTGAACTTGCTCCATTTTCTAAGGCCACTTACCTTCCATGAACTTGATGTCCTCAGTGCTGAAACAACCCTAAAAGGGTGATGTATTTATCTTGAGAAAGAAATTCTCTTGAAGTGATAAGACTCATCTTGAATTGTCTGTTGACAGCTGGTGGAGAAAGTTGTTCTTCAGGAGCTATTTCCTGAAATTAGTTTAAATTATAGCCCGTGATAATCCAAGGAATAAAGCTGTGCAATTTAGGAAATACTTTAATGTGAATCCTTCTCCTTAGGTGGGTAAGGTTCAAACTGCACACAAATGCTGCTTTAACCCTGCATACTATATAAGGTATAGTAAACACTGGATCTTCTGAGTGCCCTGTATGCTGAGCTGCTTATAGAGAGCTGGCCTTCTTACCCTTCAGTCCCCTTGGAGAAAGTGGGAGAAGGAGCGATGTCAGGCTGGGTCTCTCCTTCCCTCTTCAGTTCTGCCCCAAGTGAAAAAGCGGGAATGTAGGGGTTTTGATCTGTCGAGAATTCTTTCCCCTTCCCGACTTTTTATTTCAAATCACTGCAAACACAGCTCATGTCCAGAGTGCCTGGCTTAATTCATGTGAACTATCCTGTATTCTGCTGGCTGGATTAAAAAGTCTTTTATGAGACGTGGACTGGGCAGGTTTGGTCTTGTGTTTGAGATGATGCGAGAAACTAGTGTCTTGGGCACCTTCTTGTGTTTCCTTTGTTCGTGACCTCAGTGTGTAGCAAAGATTAAGTCGATTGCCACTGGGAAAGCACTTTGCCAATGTGCTGTGTGTTACAGTGTAAAGACTGCGCAGGTGTGGGAGAGGACAGTGCAGAGGGAGCACTGAGGCTGGAGAGGATTTGTCGCTGGACAGGTTCCCATGCTGAAGCAGCTTACCCTGAATGTGTGAGTTTTGGCAGGGACCCGCGACCCTCGCTGCTGGAGGTCCTTTGGGGGTCACAGAGACGGCATGGCAGCAATGAGTCTTGGCTTGGGGGCTGCAAAAGCCTTTTCATTGCCACTCAGTAGAGGATTCCTCTGCAGTAACAGGGCTGAGACCTGCATGGCACAAATCCTTGCTGTTAAGAGCTCAGAACAAATGAAAAAAAAATCACTTTATGACACCCACCACTCAGGGCTGGGCTGCCTGAAAACAGCCTGGTTTTGGTCTATTGCAGTCTCTCACAATCTCTTTTCAGGGGAGTCTGTTTCATTTTGAAGAGTTTGAAGCTTGGCCACAATTTGGGTGTTGGGTGGTTGTATCTCAGGGGGCCTATCTGAGCACTGAAATTTTCAGGGAATTCTTGTATAAAAGGTGAAAAAGTAGATGCTTAATGAGTATTAGGGGGATGAGTTCTCTGTATCACCTCAGTGATCCTAGAGCACAGCAGGAAGCTGTGCAGGCCCTGCTCTCCTACATGCCTTCTCTACTGCCCTCTCTCCAGGAAAAGCAAATCCAAACTCAAAGGACAAAATTACAGCAAGAGTAGTTTTGCATTGATACACCAGACCAGCGCTCAGGCAGTTTTCTCCCCTCGTCTCCAATTGCTTTGGCCACTCCCTTGGGCCTTCCTTTCTCCCAGGTGAGGCAAGCAGAGGAATTGCGTGAGTTTGGCAGTTGGTTTCAGTAGGCTTTGCTCACAAGGAAGGACTCAGGAAGGCTGGCCCTCGCGCTGTGCAGAAAACCAGGCAGAGCTCCTTTGAGGAGTCTTTCAGGGAAGGAGCCCCTCAACTCGGTGAGGTACAGCCAGCCTCGTCCAGTTCTTTCTCTGGAGCACACTGCATGTTTGCAAAGGCCTTGGTGCCTCCGCAGGTTTCGTTCTCAGCTCAACTCCAGGCAGCAGCTTAGGCTAGAGCAGGCCAGAGCAGTAGGTGAAGAAACGCTGTGTGTTTAGAGAGGTTAATGCTGTTGCTCTGGCCTGGGAAAACGTGCTGGGATTGTCTGGGGGAAGCACACGTTTCTTGCTGCGCTGTGGTGCCAACTTGTCAAAAGCTGTATAGAGATTGCAAAAATGTAAATGCCTCTGTGTCCCAGAGCGGGTGCTGCTGTGAAGCCCTGTCCAGAGGGCCCAGGCAGGAGCGTCAGTCAAAGAAAAGCCTTCCGCACTGGAGAAATGTCGCTGCTCGAGCTGAGATTTGCAGTCCTGCTTTCTGGGTGTGGACCTACTGTGCGCTGATCTGCTTTAGACCACCCTGACTTTGTATTTAACTGACTGCTGCAGCAGTCATGAACAAATCTCTGTGGGATAGAAAGCGGTGTAAATTTTATTTTTCTACTGACACGTCTAATCTTGGTGGTGATTCTCAGTAAATTCTGCAATGATTAAGGTGAACGGAGTTTCTTTCCTTGACCCGTCTTGGTGGGTCTTGCCTCGGGGACAGCAGCCGAATCGCTCTCCTGCGATGGCTGGAGTTGCAGCCGGTTCAGCGTGCTCCTTCCTGCTGGCTTGGGTCCTGCGGCTTCTTCCGCCTGTCCTTGCTCCCCTGATGCTGGCTGGGGCTTTGTGTTTAATCGAATGAGCCTTTGCTCAGACGATATAACCCCAGGACCTGGAGGATGGCCCGCCTCACGGCACTGGGGCTCAGGGAGAGCTGCTGGCCTATGTAGATGACCGCTTCCCTAGCGTCGCTTAGGTGGCCCATCCTGCCGTGGCTGTCCGACCCCCGGTGCTTCTTTTCTTCCTGCCCACTGATGTGGTTCTTCTCTGGAGGGAAGGGCTCAGGCCGCGGCTCCACGTGCTGCCGGGTGGCCTGGGCAAGGCAGGGCGGAGGCTGAGGGGCGAGCTGGAGGCGGGTCTCCACGCCGTGCTGTTGGGGGGCTGAGAGCGGTGCCTGGGGCACGTGTGCTGCCAGCGACTCCCCGGACAAGCTCCACTGGTGCTGCAGCCTCTTTGCCCGGATGTGGAGCTCCAGGGCCTCCCGGGCCTCCTCCGGCAGGAACAGGGCCTCCGCTGTGTGGAAGTACCTGGGGGCCGCGGTGGAGCGCAGCGGTGCGGGGGCTGCAGGGGCCACCCGGCTGCGGACGGACACCTCGTGTGATCGCTGCACCATGATGTGGAGGCTTCCCAGACGGGTCTCTGTGCACTTCTGGCTCGTGTGCATCTGCTGTCTGCTCTTGCAATCCCGTCCCAGCTCCAGCCTCGACACGGGGCCAGGATCGGCCGCCC